CCAGTTCCCAGGGATCTGACATTCTCACACAGATATACATGCAAACAAAACACAAATGCACATAAAAATAAAAGTGAAAAAGTCGTTAAAAAAGGCAACCCAAACCTCAAAGCCCATCCCCCAGTGACACACTTCTTCCAATAAGGCCACACCTCACAATTCTTCTCAAATAGTGCCACTCCCTGGTGACCAAGCATGCAAATAAATCAGCCTATGAGGGCCATTCTTATGTAAACCACCACAAGCACCTCAATAATTAAAAAAGATGAGCTTCTCCCCATGAGAGAAATGAAAAGGCTGATGAATCTGTATCTATGAGCATCTGTGAAGAGGCAAGATTCCTGGCTTCCTAGGAGGCACAGATTCCTATAGGGTATGGTCCCTGCTGCCCTAAAGCCCCCATCCACATCATCCAAAAACAGTTCAAATAAACAATAGAGACTTAAATAGCATTTCAAAATAGCTGCTATTAATAGACGAGAACAAAACCAATCTGTTTTTGCAGGGATTCTCCTCACAACACTGGCATCATCCTGAACCCTGGTGAGTGGGCCGAGGCAGTGCCATCAAACTGTTCCTTGCACTCTGGGGTTGTTTGTGAATCCACATGACCCGACAGAAGTCAGCAACTCACTGTGATGGCTGGAAGGCCAGGAAATATATTCAGCATTCTAGAATAACTTAAAATTTATTTATTTTAGATTTAAAATTTTATTTTTATGTGTATGATGTTTGGCCTGCCTGTGTGTATGGATGGAATGTGCATTATGTTCATGACCTAGTCGGTCAAAAGAAAATGTTGGGTTCCCTGGAACCGGAGTTATGGATGATGGTTTTGCATTACTGTGTAGGTGCTGGGAACTGAGCTCAGGCCTTCTACAAGAGCAACAAATGTTCTTAATTGCTGAGCCTTCTCTACCGGCCTTCCTCTCACCCCTTTATTTGAGCTTTGAACTCACTGTGTAGTCAAGGATGACTTTGAACTCCTGATTCTGTTTCTTCCACCTCCTGAGTGCTGGGATTGTAAATGTACACTACTACACTGGGTTTATGTTGTGTGGGGGTGGGGTGGCGGGGTGGGGGTGGGATGGGGAGAGAGGGGGTGTGACCCAGAGCTTCTGCATGCTTGGCAAGCATCCTACCAACTGAGCTACATCCCCAGTCGTCTGAAACACAATGTTATGAATCAAATAGAAATTACCCCTCACCTGTCTAGCTCAGTGGCATTCCTAGTGTGGATGTAATAGAGTGGAGGGAAAGAAAACACATCTTGGCAAGTGGATTCAAATCCATTTCACTAGAAATACCTGCCTGGGACCCTGTAAACCTACGACTCATCCCCTGGAATGGGGGCTTTGGAAATGCTATGGGTGATCCCTTAGAGCGGCTGTGTCTGTGCCATACACCCAAGTGCCCCCTGTGACTGTGACAGAGACACCAGGCTCAGGTCTCATAACTTGCCTGGAGGGGGATGAGAAGGTAAAGCCGACAGTATCTCTGTTCTAATTGAGCCATAGCATCTTTTGAACCCAGAAGGAGGCTTGCTTCTCAATTTTTACAGCCCAAAGTGAGCAGTTTCGATATTTGTTACTGCTTGTTGGCTTGTTGTTTTATTCAAGAAGTGCTTGTTCAGATTTCTGTATAACATGCTTATTACGTATTTTGAAAATGAGAACAAAATAAAAATACCCTTAATGGTATTGGTTACATTTTAGCAAATTTCTTTCTGCCATTTTTAAAATTTACTATAGAACAACAAGGCAAGAGGGCACACATGGGTCATCTCAGCACTCAGTAAGGGCAGGAGAATTGAGATTTTGAGGTCTCTTTGGGCTATATAGCAAATTATTGGCCAGCCTGGGCTCACAAGCTTATGGCAAACAAGATTACTATCACAACACTTAAAGTGGTCAAGCCTCTATCCTGCCCTTTCCAGGGTAGTGGAGGGAGGTTTCTGAGTTTCTGGGGGGTGGGGGGAGTGATGTAGGATCCAGACAGTGTCAAGGAATAGTAAATGAATGTAAGTTATCTGCAATTGGCCAGGTATATACAAAGCTGCATGTTTGGGTGTGAGGACACACATGCCTCACCGACCATATATGATCCTGATGTTCACCCAGTTTTCCTGGGTCCACCTCCTTGAATATGCTGGGCCAGGATTTTTTTCCCAGAAATGGCTCACCTGGTCTCCAAACTTCTGATCCTGGGATGGGCCAGGTCAACTGCCTACGAAGAAGGCCTGGCCTGATTGTGTGTGCTAGCCTGTTGTCTGAGGCCTGTTGGGGATTCATGGACAGCTGCGGATATTGGCCATGGTCTTTCCTTGACTGGTCAAGCTGGATGTGTTGGCTTTGGAAAGTAGGTATCCTGGTTTAAGCTGCACAGTCAAAAAGAGGTAGTAGCCAGATACTGGCCATTCACACCACAGAGGCAAATCCAGCAATCTGGCACAGGGGGAATAGATAAGAGAAGAGGGGCAAAGCATTTGAAAGTAGTCTCAAACTGGAGACATAGTTCAGTTGGTAGAATGCTTGAATACACAAAACCCTAAGTTGGATCCCCATGTTCTGTGTGTGTGGTGGGGAATATCTGTAATGTCAGCATTCAGGGGTAGAAGCAAGGGGATCTGAAGCTCAAGGTCATGCTTGACTGTAGAGTGAAGTCAAGGCTCGTGTAGGCTACATGGAGCTGTCAAAAAACAAAAACAAAAACAAACAAAGAAAACACAATGAAAAAACCTCAAGTAGCCTCAGGTCTGTTCAAGTCGTGTATGGAGAAAGGGACCTGTGGGGTCAGGTGGGAGAGGGAAGGAGAGAAAAGAGTTGGCCTGTGCACACAGGCAGGCAGTGGTTAGCTTGCTGTTGCTCTTGGGTCTCTTCTCCCAGGCATCTGTTCTAGGCTGGGTCAGGACAGCTTCTCACTATAGGAAGCTAGAGGACAAGTGGGCATGGCATGTGGGCAGTGGTAGCAAGAATGGAAAATTTGCAGGATCTTTAAAACCTGAAGTTAAGAGGGTTGGGGACATATCTCAGCGGTTAAGGCTATTTGCTTCCAAGCTGGGTAAAACCCCATCTTAAAATAACACCTCTGCAAAAGAAAACCTCAGGGACTTATGCCAATCATAATAGCACGAGACCCTAACCTTCCTGATTACTATAGACCCACTTGTCAGAGATCAGATCCATAAACTAACGGGAGAGGTTAACTTCAGGCAGGTGCATTGGAGTTGACCGTGGGAAGATCTGGAAGTGCCACCTGGGAAGGGACTTAATCTAGTGATCTATTATTAGCCTCTAATTAAGCTGAAACCCAGATCCCTCCCAATACTGTGGCAGAGTCCTGGTGATACCAACCAGGTGACTAAACAGATGAACAAATTCTTGCAGTACCCACGGAAGGTCACCAGTCCCCAGCATATGTTGGTGTGTTTTATAAACTTATGCCATAGAGAAGTTAATGTCATGGAATCAGTGCTAGTGCCAGATAATGGAAGTGATGAGGCTAAAAGAGCCTGTCTAGTTAAGAGATACCCTTCCTTTCCTCTTACAAAGTTCATCTGACTGGGAATTCTGTAGCTCATGAAGGGGATGGCCAAAGTCTACATTCGGCTACCAGTTTGTACTGAATGGGACTGAAATTCAGTTTCAGTAAAAACAAAACAAAGCAAAACAAACCTCTACAATTTAAGATAATACCTTCATTGCTGGCAGATCTGACTGGGGGTGCTGGACATGTAGGGATGCTTCCTAGTAGATGCTAAATGAGTTTTAAGTTGGACTGTTTCATTAATGAAAATCCCTTAAAAGTGCTATATAACCTTCAAAGTGTAAATGTTCTATGATTCCAAAGTTTCCCCATGGGGCTTGATTCTATTTTGTCTAAATGGTAGATTTTTCTCTTTTACATCCAAGACCTCGTTGAACATCATAGCCTGTTTGACATAAGTTACTCCCCACCCCCCCCAATGTAATTTGTTTAAAATTTGAAGTTCTTTGTCTGGGAAAGTGAAATGTTCACATTTTGAAAGTCTAAAAATAAAACACCAGAGAATTGATGCCAAAACAATGGTGTCAATCAGAAATGCTTTTTCAATCCAACATTGGAATGGTGCTAATTACAGAATCAGCTCCTGGTACCAGCACTCATTGTTTCGAGCCAATTAACCATCGGCTTGAGAAACCTAAGTTCTAAAACCTTTGAAAAACTCCAGTTTTCTGATCAGTTGTAACAGCCAAATAGTGTGCATAGGTAAGATTTGGTATGTATGGTTATCTTTTATAGCCAAGTTTTTTAAGTGAGCGTATCCATGCCATTCTCTTAGTGGACAGATAGGTTCTCCCAAATCAGCTTTCATTAAACATGCACTATTTATATTTTGTATTCATTTAGAAACAAGCATTCTTAATTGCTCACCGGGATCAGATTTACTAAGGCGGCTTATTGAAAATTTCTACAGAGAAGTACAAGATTGAATAAATCTATTAAGGAGATTGCTTTGGGAACTGATGGTGTCGTTGGATGGCAGAGCAATTATCTAGCATGTGGGAATAGCTAGGTTCTAGCCTCAGTATTTCAGGAGGTGAGGCGAGGGTCTAGCTTCTGGAAAAGTGGTTTTGAAGCTCATGGTAGGCAATGAGGAAACTTCTGGAACCTCCATTTAATGGTCCTTGTCACTATGTCTGGTAGGGATTCGCAGCTCTTGTTTCAGAAGCGTTTTGGTTCTCAAAGTCCCCTCTTCCCCTTCATGGGAAGCACTGGCTGTTTGTTTCATGTGTAAAGTCAAAAGCACTTACAGCTGATTGGTGTAGCTACACACCTTAGGAGCCTCCTGGTGCCTTAAATGATCAGAGTTTGAGGTCCTTTACATCCTAGGTATAAACTGTTAAGTAATTTAGCACTTACTTTTTTTCCCAACAGATGTGAATTATTAAAAAGAAAATGGCCCAGCAGGACACTGTATTTCCTTCTCTTGTCACCCAGGAAGGGTATACTATCTGGAAAATATGCATCTAAGGTACAATTTTTCTTTTCACCAGTCCCAGGAGGGTTGCTAGAGGGCATGAGGGTCATGAAAGAGGAAGCCTGTGGCCATTACATTGTAAAGGGTCATTTTGTTAAGGGCAAGAAAAACATTATAGCCTCATGGCTCCTGTGGACTGCTCCATGACCCCAAAGGCAGAGATTTCACAGTGGCTCTGCAGTAGACTTGAACTTCCTGCCAACAGTAAAGTCACTGTGGAGCTTGAGGCAAATGTTCCCATTAGCCCTTTGAAATCAGAAGTTGCATATTGGATGCCTGGGGGGAAATCCTGCCTCACAGAAATGCGTCGCACAGCCTGCATATCGGAAGTCCTTTCTAAATGAGCCATCATTTAAAGAGGGGGTGATCTCACAGCCACATCTGATTTTCCTGGCTCATCCTGAAGTATCATTTTGATAGCTCCCACAACAAACAAATTTTAAAAAAGGACCTCGTTTTCAGATGGCCTTTTTATGGATGGCACAAGACCATGGCACCCCAAGGGACATTCTATCTCCCTAGAGTCTCCAGCCCTTCTGGTTGTGTCCTGTATGATGTCTGTTCCTCATTTCTGGGACTGCCTGGCCCCTAGAGGCATTGGAGCTCATGATCACTGCTTTAGGGGAAGGGAAAGGGAGGCAGTAGGTCAACACACCTCTGGGGCCAGCTTGGTCTGGCTATCACAGCTATCACCACTGATGGGAGGAGCTGTGGTGTGTCCATTCTGACAGCTTCCTGCTTCTTGAAGGCCACAGAGACCACAAACAGCCCACTTAATTTCATGGGCATAGTCACCTTAAAATCCTGCCTAGCTCTCAAAGAAAACTCTTTAGGGTAAAAGCTTTTCCTTTCATCCCATTTGTTTACAGAGACAGACAATGTGTGTTTCTTTGGGGAGTCTTAAATCTGGCTTGAAAGGTTACTTTCCTCCCCACCAATTTTTAGCAATATGGCTCCTTTCCGCAGGCGAGTGAGGACCATGCCCCGACACAGCCAGTCCCTGACCATGGCACCCTACTCTTCTGTGAGCCTGGTGGAGCAGCTGGAAGACAGGATCCTCTGTCATGAAAAAACCACGGCAGCACTGGTGGAGCATGCCTTCCGCATCAAAGATGACATTGTCAGCAGTTTGCAGAAGATGCAGAATAAAGGGGGAGGCGACCGCTTAGCCAGGCTGTTCTTGGAAGAGCATATCAGGAATATAACGGCCATTGTGAAGCAACTGAATCGGGATATTGAGGTAAGGGATGTGCAAGCCAATGGATCATGTTCATCTCCCCAGACCTGGTCCAGGTCAGGTTGCCCAAGTCTGAGTCCCAGCTGTCAAAGAGTCATGTGTGTGCGCGCGCGCGTGTGCGCGCGCGCGCGCGCGCGTGTGTGTGTGTGTGTGTGTGTGTGTGTGTGTGAGTGTGTGTGTGTGTGTGTGTGTATTTGTGTGGGTGGCTGTACTCACCCACTCATGCACAAATATAGGTTGACTTTGGGTATCTTCCTTTATTGCTCTCCACCTGTCCTAGTTTCATTTCTGTTGCTGTGATAAAATACCCAACAAAAAGCAACCTAGAAGACAAAGGGTTTATTAATTTATGTGTTTTTACTTTATGTGCATTGCTGTTTTGCCTGCATGTATGAGGGTATTGGTCCCCTGGAATGGAGTTACAAACAGTTGTGAGCTGTCATGTGGGTGCTGGGAATTGAACCCAGGTCTTCTGGAAGAGCAGCCAGTGTTCTTATCTGCTGAGCCATCTCTCCAGCCCCTAAAAGGTTTATTTTAGCTTACACTTCCAGGTTACAGTCCGTCTTTGTGGGGAAGTTAAGTCAGGAACTTCAAGCAGCCATTCACATCACATTCAGTTAAGAGCAGAGAGAAATGAATTCATGTATACAGCTTGCTTGCCAGTCAGCTTGATTTCTCCACTAGTTCACAGCCACCCACAGTGGACTGGCTCTTCCCACATCAATTAACTTAAGACACCCACCCCCACACAAGCCTGCCCACAGGCCAATCCAATGTAGACAGTCCCTCACTGACACTCTCTTCTTGTGTGTGTCTAGGTTGTGTCAAATAGACAATTATACCATCACACTACCTTATTTTTTGAGACAGGGTCTCTTACTGACCCTGGAACTTGCCTTTTTGGCTAGGTGGCCAAACCTCAGAAATGTGCCTGTCTCTGGCCCCCAGCTCTGGGGTTACAGGTACATACCACCATAGTGGGCTTTTACATGGGTGCTGGAGATCCAAACAGCTCAGCAGTTTGCACAGCACTCACTCTGCCAACTGAACCATCTCTCCAGCCCTTCTCCCCTATGTGACATGTACTCACAGTGTAGCCCAGGCAAGCTTTGAGCTTACAACTTGTAAGCAGTCCTCCTACCTCTGCCTCCCATGCCAGAACTTCAGGCACTTGGCACCAGATCTGAGCTATCTGTCTTGTCTATTATTATTAGATATTTCTAGAACAGGATCTTATGTACTCCAGGTTGGCCTTGAACTCTGTGTAGCCAAGGATTACCTTAAACTCCTTATACTCCTGTTTCTACCTCTTAAGTGCTGGGATTATAGGTGTGTACTACCATGCATGATTTCATGACATTCTGGGTACCCAAACTAGGCTTTTGTGTACAGTAGGAAAGTATTTCATCAACTGAGATACATCCTAGCCCTAGGTTTACTTCAGGATAGGCTCTCATGTGTCCCAGGCTGACCTCAAACTCACTATGTAGCCAAGGTTGTCCTCAAACTCCTGATCTTCCTGTTTCCAAATTCTGGGATTAAGAATGTACCTCACAGGGCTGGAGAGAAGGCTCAGCCGTTAAGAGCTCTTGCAGAGGACCTGGGTTTGGTTCTCAGCTCCTATGTGGCAGCTCACAGCTATCAGTAGTACCTCCAGTTCCTGGTGCCCTCTTCTGGCCTCCTCAGATACCAGGCACACACGGCACACATTCATGCAAAACACACACACATAAAATAAAAATAAATAAATCTTTTCAAATGCTTTGTTGTCTTTTCTTTTTAATTAAAAATTACTATTTATTTATGTGTATGCCAATTTGTGTGTGTTCACATATGTGCATCCATGTACCACGGTGCATGTATGGATGTTAGAGAGCATTTGCAGGGGTCAATTCTGTCCCTCCGTCTCATCAGCAAGCCCTGCCTTGTCTTTTCTCTTCTTTTCTTTTCTTTTCTTTTCTTTTCTTTCCTTCCTTCCTTCCTTCCTTCCTTCCAGCCTTCCTTCCTTCCTTCCTTCCTTCCTTCCTTCCTTCCTTCCTTCCTTCCTTCCTTCTTTTCTCTCTTTCTTTTTTTGAGAAAGGGTTTCTCTGAATAGCCCTGGCTGTCCTGGAACTCACAGAAATCCACCTGCCTGCCTTGTCTATTCTTTTTTTTTTTTTTTTTTTTTTTTTTTTTTTTTTTTTTTGCGGGGGGGTTTTTTTTTTTTTTTGTTTTGTTTGTTTTTTTTTTTTTTTGTTTTGTTTGTTTTTTTTTTTTTTTGTTTTGTTTGTTTTTTTTTTTTTTTGTTTTTTCGAGGCAGGGTTTCTCTGTGGCTTTGGAGACTGTCCTGAAACTAGCCCTTACAGACCAGGCTGGTCTCGAGCTCACAGAGATCCCCCTGCCTCTGCCTCCTGAGTGCTGGGATTAAAGGCATGCACAACCAACACCCGGCTTCTGCCTTGTCTATTCTTAATGATCACCCAGGAAACTGCAAGATTATCCAAGTTATATTAAAGTTCCTGCAGTATCTGTTGGTAATTACTGTCAGTGCTGTTTGTGTTTATTCTAAATTTACCTTGCTGATTATTAAATCATTTTGTTTGGTTTGGATCTCAGTGGAGATGGAGAACTAGACAGAAAGTTTTCCTGTAAACCCCTTCATGCCTTTGAAGACGGTTATTACCTCCTTTACTGGGTCAGCCCTGTGCTCCAGACGAAATGTTTGTAGGCCGAAATGATTATACAGCTCGAGTTGTATTATTCAGGCAGTTTAGGCGTTTGAATGGCTTCTCACACACCTCTTTATTGGTTCTGACCAGGCTAACATTGTCTATTCTTAGAATTTGCACGTTTATTTCTAGTTTTCAATAACCACAGGGACCATGCAATTTAGTTCAGAAAGCTTAAGACCCACCTTGCACAGCCTGGGCTTCTGTCTCTGCACAAGGTCAGTATCTTTCCCATGTAATTTTAGCAATGTGAATAAAAGGTTGATGGCCAGACAGGGAAACTCTTGTTTCCTGTTGGGGGTTGTGTTTCAATCATGCTTCCCTAGGCAGATTTGTAATTTTGTTTTTTTGTTTGGAGGAAAGATCTCATGGGGCCTAGGCTGGCCTTGAAGTTCCTAGTAGCCTAAGACTGACCTTCTGCCCCTGCCTCTGAGTACTGGGATTACAGGTGTGTAATCCCAGTTTATGTAGCACAGATTGAGCCCAGGGCTTCATGCATGCTAGGTCAGCATGTTGCAGTTAAATAAGTTTTAGTAAATTTATAAAGTTGTACAACCAACCATTAGCACTGTCTCATTTTAGGAGGTTGTCATTGTCCCCTCCCCCAATTCATAGGATCTCCACTCCCACCCTAGCATTGAGCAATCCTTCATGTGTGTATTTCAGACAACATCCTATGCTTCCCTGGCTGGCCCCAAACTCCTTATGTAGCAGAGAGATACACACAGAGCTTTGCATTGGCTAGGCTGGTAATCTTCCCTACTGAGCTACCTTCAAGTTAATGTCAGCGAAGTCCGCCTTACCTTGTTTTTCTCTTTTATGGTTCATGCTTTTAACGGTATGGCCTAAAAACTGATTGCTAACCCAAGGCTGCAGAGGCTTTCTCCTGCGTTTTCTGCCCAACTTTCAGTTTTCATATTTGATTTTGTGACTCTCTCTGAGTTAGCTTTGGTAATTGGGGTGAGGTGAGGCAAAGCATTCACTGAATAGAACAGACTGTGAGCTTCTCAGGTAAAAGCTTGTCCTATTCATCTTCCCGATGTTCAAGCACAGTGTTTGAAGGTAACTGGGGAGGCTGCTGGTGCCCATTTGTGCTGCTGCAATAAAAGGCTGGAGAGTGGTTCATTTCTAAACAATAGGAATTTATTTAATATGTGTGTGCACTTGTAGTATTGTGTTCGTGTGGAGACAGGTGTGAGTGCATGTGAGGGCCTAAAGACAACCTCACATGTCATTCCTGTCATCTGTTAAGCTCTGGACCTCTTTGTTTCTTTAAGGCAGGGTCTCTTACTGACCGACATCTCCTCAAGTAAGGTGGCAGGATGGCCAGTGAGCCCAAGGACTCCTCCTGCTCCCATCTCCCTGACACTCACTACCATGCAGATTTTTTTTTATGTGTCTTCTGGGGACCAACTTCAAGTCCTCATGTTTCAAATACTTCAGTGACTGAGCTGTCCCCTAGTTTCCACGGGTCCTTTTAGAAAGGTCCAGTATCTATTCTTGTAGGTGCTGTCCTTGTGACTCAGTCACCTTCCAGTTGTCCCACCTGACACTGCTATAATGAAGATTGAGTTTCAATGTGGATTTGGGAGGGGACACCCTTAGCTAACCCAGAACAAAGCTTATGAAATGGATAGATGCTCAGTGAAGACAGCTGTGGGACTGCTGGAAATGCAATGTGCCTCCTTTTCAGGCAAACCAGAAAAGTGACCCACAGTCTGAAGCCCATCCACAAGAGTGCCGAGGCTAAAAACAACCTCACCCCACAATGTGCTCCTTTCCCTCTTTCATTTTGCCTCTTAGGAGCTCTTCTAGAATCTTGAACTTTCATTTGTCTATTTATATTTAAGACATGGTCCCTTAGAGCCCAGGTTGGCTTTGAAGTAGCTATATAGCAGAGAATGTCCTTGAACTTGTGTTCCTCTGGCCTCTACCTCCCAAGTGCTGGCTGCACAATCCAGAGAGTAACATTTCAGAGTCAGTTTTATAAATTCCGAGTTCTAAGGGCTGGGGGTGTGGCTCAATTGGTAGAGAGCCAGCCTTACGTGTGGGAAACCCAGGGTTTCATCTCAAACCCAACAGAAACTGAGTACAATCCCAGCACTTGAGAAGTACAGATGGGAAAATCAGGAGTTCTAGGTCATCCTTGACAATATAGGAAGTTCAAGGTTGGCCTTGACATGAGACCCAGCCTCCAAAAAAATTAGTGTTTGAACAATTTACAGTGTAGAGAATTTGAAATCACAGTTTTGTTTTTCTATACTATCTGAGACACGTTTTATGTAATGATGTTTC